GCCCAGTTTGTGTTCCATTCTGAACTTCCTTCTTTTGCATTTTGTACATTTTTTCCTGTTTCCCCCCATTTGCCACTCCCCACTAACACACCTCTACACAGACTTCTCCCCCTTTGTAACAAATAAGTATAATTAACAAAACAATACATTTGCTATGTCTGAAAAACTATGTCTCACTCATCACCTTTCTTCCATCATCTTCTGGTTTTGTTTTTTTTTTATTGGTCCTTTGAAGTCATAATTGGTCACTGCATTATAAGAGTTCAAAACCCTGATCCAACTTCTTTTCCTTTATTTACGTTAATGGGGTCATCCATGGAAATCGTTCTCTTGCTTCTGCTTATACCCTTCTGAATCCAAACTTTTCATATTTGTCATTTCTTTAATTATAATAACATTCCACTGTACCCATCTACCATGATTTGTTTAGCCATTCCCCGATTGATGGACACCCACCTTCTTTATAGTTATTTACTATCACATGTTGCGGGTAAATATTTTCTGTATGGATGGATCCTTCTCCATCTTTGGTCTTTGATGTTCAAAATCAATTTCCATGGTAGATCCTTGGTAAGACTTTTTAGAGTTTTATTTGGTGGTGGTGGTGGTGGCGGCGGCGGCGGCGGGGGCGGGGGCGGCGGGGGTGGGGGGGTGGCGGTGGCGGTGACGGTGGCGGGGGTGGTGTGTTCCATCGTTACTTCTCCATGAGGGAGAATGGTTAGATCACAACTAAACTGCCTTTCGGTGTGGCTTTTGATGTTGTTCACAATAAACGTAGTCCTATCTGCTCTCATCTTGCTTCTGCTTCCTTCATTCTGCACCAATTCAGCTAAGTCCTGCTCAGTTTAAATTAATAAATTAAATTCACATACCAGCATTTGTTCTAATATTTCCCTCACTCAACGGGCACTCATTCTTTCCAGTTTTGTTTTTGTTTTTTTTTTTTGTTTTTTGGTTTTTTTTTTGCTATGAAAAGCATCGCTAAGAATATATGGGGGCAAGGTGCATCGTTTGGTCTGTCTTTGACCTCCCTGAGGGATATGCCCAGGCGTGATATATTTAGAATAAGGGGTACAGACTTAATAATTTCTCATATAATTCCAAAATGTTTTTTAATTCATAGTTATACACAGTTATTTAGAATGCCTGACTTAATGCAGTGGTGTCTGACTCTTTCATGATCCCATTTGGGGTTTTCTTGGTAGAGATACTAGAGTGGTTTGCCATTTCCTTCTCCAGCCCATTTTTACAAATGAGGAAACTGAGGCAAACAGGGTTAGGTGACTCACCCAGGTCTTATATCAAGTGTCTGGATTTGAACTCATGAACATGAGCCTTTCTGATTCCAAGCCCAGTGTTCTAGCCACTGGGACACTTAGCTGCCTGTTGCCTATTTAATAATGATTAAAGTGGAAATGTTTAATACGATTGTACATGTAGTGCCTATATCAGATTGCATGCCATCTTGGAGAGGGGGGAAAATTTAGAACTCAAAATCTTATAAAAGTGAATGCTGAAAACTAAAAATAAATAAATTTAAAATAAAATAAAATGACCTGGAGAAGGAAATGGCCAAAAAAAATTGTTAAAGTCCCAACTAAAATCCCATGTTCTACAGGAAGCCTTCTCCAACCCCTCTTAATTGTAGTACCTCCTCTCTTCTTTACTTCCTAATCATCCTGCTTCTAGTTTGTATGTTTGCTTGTTTTCTCCCCCACTGGATTGGAAGCTCCTCAGTCTGGGACTGTCTTTTGCCTCTTTTAGTTATTTCCAATGCTTAGCACAGTGCCTGGCACATAGTAGGTGCTTAAGAAATGTTTATGGCCTACTTGATGAGAACCATTGAAGATGTTAAAAGTCTTCCCAGTGATATGCTAAATATGTGACCCAAGACAACTCACTCACTCTTTCAGTGTCCCCAGCCACTCTTTAAGGCTATAAAATTGCAGAATTAGTTAGGGATCTGCATTGGTGGAAGGCATTTTCTCATTGGGAGTTCCCTATGCCAGTCAAATCAGAGGTCTCATCAAAATAAAAAAGCCAATCCCCCAACCTTTGCCTCTTCCATGGGCAAGAAAAATGGAAGTTGGATGAAAATGTTTAGATAGCCCAAGTCAAAGCGGTCCAAGTTTTCATTACAATCCTTTCAATAATCAAAATCCAGTTTACTATGCCCTAATCTTACCAAAGTAGACTTGGTTCACAGCACTGACCTTCAGAGAAATGCCCGCTAAGGGTATGTCACCTGAAAATTTGAGAAAGCATGGCAATGTTTTTTCTTTCTAAGAATGGAATTTGAAGCCTTTGGGAGTGCTCCAAAAATGGCATCCATGAAATTCTTGAATGTCTGCTATTGGGAGACACATCAGAGCAAGAATTTTTTTTTCAAGAGAAGCTGGCAGGTGTTTCTAAATTCCGAGCCCACGGAATGACTACCTAGGTAGTGGAAAATTTTTAGCACACCTGCTGAGCAGTCCAATTTAACCTCAGCTGCTTTCCTGCTGTATTAATAATTGACAACCATTAAATGTTACCTGGAAGCTGTAAAGCACTTGATGTATGTGAAAAGTGCTTTTAAAGGTATAATTGCATTTGATCCTCTCTATGTGAAGTCCCACACCAGTGAAAAAGGCATGACTCAACAACAGTTTGGGGAAAAAACATCTCACAATTTTGGTGGTCTGACAGCGCAACATGAATCAGCTATTGCACAGCAACCCCCAAATGTGACCTTTAGCAACACCAAAAGTGTCTACAATGGGACAGGGGATTGTATTCTCACCCGGCCACACATCAAATCTAAGGTATCTTCATTTTAGGAGGGATGTCGACAGGGTGGTGGGTTGAAAAGAAACCACTGGACTCAAAGTCAGAGGACTAATGTTTGAAGCCTTGTTTGGCTATTTAGTTTTATGTATGTATGAATTTGGGCAAAGGTCAATTAATATCTTTGATTCCCAGTTTGGAAAGTGGCATTTGGATAGTGAATTTTCAAAAGATTCTCACTTAGAAAGTGACAGAACTGTACTAAATGATCTCTTTTTAGAGATCCTATGACCCAAATTGGAGCATGTCCTGAAAAGGGCTACCAGGCTGGTGAGTAATGACAGCATCTCAGAGTTGGAAAGGACTACTAGAGACCTTAATAGCCATCTATTAAACCATACCCAAAAGGAACGTATACTATATTATATTCTCTCTCTCTATATGTACATATGTACACACACAACATATATATGTATGTATACATATACATATATATACACACATGTACACATACACCTACTGTAACGTACATGAAAGTGGTTGTCCAGCCTATGCTCAAAGACCTCCAATGAGGGACAACCCAGTACCTTCCCAATCAAACCATTCCACTTTTGGATAGTTTTAACTGTTAGGAAATTTTTCTTGACATCAAGCTTGGATTTGCTTTTGCAATATCCACTCATGGCTTCTGGCTCTGCCCTTCACAGCCTAATAATGAAAATAATAATAATAATAACAGATTACTTAGCCCCCTTCTACTCAACAGCCTTTCAAATACTTGAAACCTATTATGCCCCACCCCTTAATATTCTTTTTTCTAAGTTAGACTCAACAAGCATTTATGAATTATGAAGCACCTACTACATGTCAGGCACTGGGCTAAGTCCTGGGAATACAAAGAAAAACCGAGACAATCCCTGCCCTCAAGGATGTTACTAGGAGACTACAACAGGTTCACAGGTAAATACCAGAGATGAGAGGGCACTCTTGTTTGTCCTTTGTTCTTGAAGAGGACCATGGCATCAGGAAGGTGATGCCATGACTTACAAGTGAATTGGATTTAAGTGAGGAGGGCTGTGCAAGGTCACTAGCCTCACTTTCTCCTCCACAGCCATCTGGGTCCAGTGGCAAGATATAGATCAGGATGACTGGAGAGGACCCTGGATGCCAGGAAGGGCATTAACAATTAAGAGAATGAAGAAAGACAGCACTAGAACTGAGCCTTGGGTCCTCTGAAAAGCCTGTGGGGGCAGGTAACATGACACAGGTAATACACAAAGTAACTGCTCTGTGCCTCAGTTTCCTTATCAGTAAAATGAAGGGATTGGGCTTGGTGACTTCTAAGGTCCCTTCCAGCTCCAAACCTATGGTCCCAGGGTCCTTTTTCTGGTTCTACTCATTGTTAATCTCCCCAGGAATTAATCCAATGGTGCCAAATTGTCACTGTCATTGGGAGAAGTAGAGAGTGAGAGAATGGTTTGGGTCATCCTTAAGAAAAAGTCATGACAAAATATAGTAAGACAGTTGAGCCAGGAGTGGTATAATCCCTGCTAATAGGGAGGTTGAGGCTGGTGACTGATTAAGCTCGGGAGTTAGTTCTAAGCCGAAGCAGGCCTAGAGCTAATCAGAGGTCCTCATTAAGTCCAGCCCCAGTCAGGTGAGCCCCAGGAGATGGGAACCACCAAGCTACCTAAGGAGGGGAAAACTGGCCATGGTCGGAAACAGCGTATCAGAATTTCTATGTTGTTCTGCAATGAAGACTGGCCATCGGTGGCCACCACACACTTCCAGCCTTGGCAAGATAGGAAGACCAAGTCTCCATCAACAAATAAATAAATGAAGCAAAGTCAAATGTTAGCTTCACCTTAAATGTTTGCTGTAACAAAGTGGTAGAGAAGAAAGAACCTACTTCTATTTCCATTCTAAAGGACCAAGATGGGGGATCTGGGGAAAGTATCAGATATGGGGTAAGGATTTTAAACCAAAAATTCAAAGTAGAAACATACAGTGACCAACTGGATTATCTTTTCTAAGGAGGCAGTGGAAGTACAGTTGTTTAAAAAATATAAATAAATATACTCTACTTTCAACACCCTGGTAGACACTCATCTAAATGGACCCACAAGCTCTTCCCTCCCACTCAGTGATCTCTGATGCAGGTTTCTTTAATTAACTCTTTAATCAATCAATTAATTAATTGTAGAATGTCATTAAATAAAAACACACAAACACTATACAAACAACAACTGCAACTTTAATAAGTGGAACCACAATTTGCCATTTCAGAAACAATTTTAAGGGGAAAGTGTTTTCCCTATAAAAATAAAATTAAACTTGTCAAAATTATAAATAGTATAACTTTAAAAAAAAAAAAAACTTTTTTACTTTTACAATTTAAAATGCTTCCCTGCATTACCACCACCTCATTTCAACCTCTTTCCTGTACCATCACACACTGAGCATCAACAACACTACAGCAAAGCTTAGGTCATTTAATATAGAAACTGGTAAAAAATAAACTCAAAACATTTCTTTGGCTAGATCTGACCTTTAAAAAAAATTCTTTTTTCAAACATTTAAAAGCTGCTGCAGTAAACCAGTGTTGTGGGGGAATGGGGGCTGGAGAACACAACAAAATCAGTCTTTCTAGACCTGCAAATTTCAATACAGTAAGTTTTCCAAATCATAACTTGTAGTGCATATAAAACAACCACTGAGGTTTCTGGATAATATAATATGAGGATGCCTATTTTACAGACAATCTACTTCAAGTAAAAAAAAAAAAGATAATTCACAGATACCCATCAGCTACCACTGTTAGATCCTAAGAGCATTCAAATAGGAAAAGTCAAAGCTTCATGAAAAATAAACTTCTCAAAAATAATAAAATAAAATAAAAAGAAAAATAAACTTCTCATCAAAATGGGACAGGTTAGTCAAAAATCAGGTGGTGGTTGCCAAGAGAATACTCAAACCCAGGCTGTGGTCTGAATAATAACAAGAAAATACCAGCATTCCCTGAACGTTACAGTAAAGTGTCTGTTGGTAATGTCACTTAAAACCTCATACATGCACTACAGAGTTTCATGCAAACTAAACAGACATGGTGTGGCAAACATATTTTATATCGTTCTACATTTAAAAAAAAAAAAACTCTTCCTCAACAGTTTCAGAAGATATGATTGTCTCAGTCACTTGTGTAGTACTGCATAATCCACAAACGGTTAGGACGAAATGATTGTTCTTCATCAAGTCAGCCTGAAAATCTAGAAATCAGAAAAGGAAGCAACAACGAGGCACAGTTTGCAGAGTAAGAGGCACAGGACTGAACCACCTTGGAGTTTCGCAAAGAAGCCATTAGGTGTCACTAAAGTGTTAACAATTCCTTGGGAATTTATAATAAATGTCTAGAGCAAAAAATGGGCAGCATGGGTCCTCTTGAACTTGAGTAAATTTTCTTTTCTTTTCTTTTTTCCCCCCGTGTTTCCACTGGAATAAATCATTTATGCTAGGGCTACTCAAGAGCGAGGAGTTACTTGAACCTGATTTGAGGAAGGCTTCTATTGCACACCCATCCATCTCTTTGGTTGGCTGGATCAAGCATTTTTGTTTCAATGTCTCTGTAAGAATACCAGTTACATCAGCAGTCAAATACTTACTCTTCCCTTCCATGCTCTTGACTCTGCCAGGGGCCAAGCAGTCTTGGGTAGGGGAGGGAGAACCTGGCAACATAACACATCCTGGTTCAGCATGGGAACATCACAGATTCAAAAGAGAGGAAAAGGAAAAAGGGAAGGAGGAAGGGAAGGAGAGAGGAAAAAGAAAATGGCTATGGATGCTCCACAAGGCTTTGAGTACTTCAGTCTTATAAACCTAGAAAATTAGAATCAGATGCCGCTTCTGCCCTATTTCTTTTCATGAGAAACCAGGTGAAATAGTCCATTTCCTCTAGTCTTTTCTGCTAAGGACAAAGACAGACCTTCCTAGGAAACAACCTCACGTAACAGAAGCCACCAAATGGCAACATGGTTTCTAAAATGCTAAGGAGACATCAGTGGGCATCCCCAAAGTGTTCGCCACTCCTTGGGAGCGGGTCTGTGCCTTTCTTGGTTTAGGTCTGTCTCCTTACAGATATCGCACCAAACAGACCTACCATTCCACACCCACTGGATTTATGCAGGTAAGTAGCTCATCCCAAGTTACCTGAGGGTACTGCTCTGCTTAGACAAAGGCCTGGGTTCATAAGATACAGTGGTTAATCCTCAGTTTTCATGGCAATCTCAGGAGCAAGCCAGCTTTTTCTTTGCTCCCTTGCATTAGCCGTTCTCCCAAATCTCCCCTCCTCCAAGAAATCAAGTCATCCCATATATATATAACATCTTACACCTTAAAACTGTATTGTTTTAAAAGTGAGTTACAAACAAAGTCCACATCCCTCTTATCCACCATAACCAAACTTCACAATTCCATCGCTGGCCACCAAAGGATCCCTGTCTCTACTCATGCCTTCTTTCTAACTTACTCTTTCCTTTCCTTAGGTCTACTGCATTAAAAACCCTTCAAAAATTTCTCAAAAATCCCTAGCTTCCTTATGCCACCTTCCATTGTACATGGCCGTTTTCATGCAAAATTGTAAACTGTTTAACAATAGGAAAAACAGTATAGTTTGATGCTTAAAACTGTTCAGATTGGGTTCTTCTTTCAGCTTTTAAAAAAATAACCAATCTGTAGATTCTTGGGCTAAAAACCATAAAATCATTAAAAAAAAAAAAGGTAGAGGGAAAACCACACCCTATCCTTCATATTTCTGTTAGCAATCTACCACAGTTTCACAGGCTGCCGAGGGGTGATACCACCCACCAACAGAGGATTCTGGGGTGGTATCACAACGTGACAAGCTTACCTTACCTTACCCTTACACAGGTACTAGGTACCTGGTGCTGAATGGGACTAATCTAAGAACCGGGGAGAGGTACCCTGTCATCACAAAACTGTAAACCAGCTCACTTAATAGAGCACACCTGCTGCCGCCTTGTCGCTTGTACTGAGCATGCTACGTCTGAGTACGTTGGTTTTTTTAATTTTTGTTTTGTTTTGCTTTTTAAGTAGCCTGCACTATTCCTGAGTGCTCTGGGGCTGCTGCTTAATCCATCTTCCATGTTTCTTCGAGGGCTTTTTCAAGTTTGTGTCTGTAAGTTGCATAGCGCCGTTTCAGGTTCTGCAACTGTTCATCTTCTTCTTTGTCCAGGATCCGCAAGAAGTTCTGTAGCTCAGGAAGACTGAAGGCTTCCCACTGCAGAGGGAAAAAACATGCATGCACGCACACATACACACACACACACACACACACACAGAGATTCAGTGAATAATACATCATATGGTACTTGAGTGAGTCAGCATTTTGTATTTTTGTCATTGTTCAGTTATTTCAGTCGAATCTGACTCTGTGTGACCCCATGTGGGGTTTTCTTGGCAAAGATACCGGAGGGGTTTGCCATTTCCTTCTCCAGCTCATTTTACTGATGAGGAAAATGAAGCAAACAGGGTCAAGTGACTTGCACAGTCACACAACTAGGGAGTGTCTAAGGCTCCATTTGAACTCAGGAACTTAAGTCCTCCTGATTTGAGGCCTGGCACTCTATCCACAGTGTCATCTAGCTGCCTAAGTCAGCATTTACTTGTTACCTACCATGTGCACCTTAAGGGGCTAGGGCAGTTCCTTTTTTTGGGGGTGGGGGGGGCGGTGTGTCTCTTTTATCCCCCAGAATCTAATATAGTGCTCAAGACAAAGTAGAGGAGAGGGAAAGAAACAACCTGAGATTTCATTGGTACAGAAAACTCCTCCCAGGATGAGGTCAAGACAAGTGGTTCCTTTCTCTATAGCTTCCGAGAGTGTCAGAAAGTTGCCTAGAACAGGCGTCAAAAAACATTGCAGCCTCGACTAGATTAAAATATAACTGGAAAATATTTAACAAAATAAATAAAATTTTATTTTTGTTTAATATATCAAATTTATTATATTTTTAAATAGTATGTATTTACAGTAGTGTTTATATAAACAAATCCTATATTTATATTATTAAAATATATTATACTGTGAATATGAAATACAAACCTAAATATAACAATAAATAACATTTATATAAAACTTATTTTGCTTATATCAAATTTATTGTGTTTATATATTTATGAATATTATAAATTCTATATTCATGTTATATAAAATACATTATTCTATTATAAATTATATAAAATATTATCAACATATTTATAAACTTTCTAATAAATCTATATTATAAATATAATAAATATATTTGTATTAGATATAAATGAGTAAATCATGAGATATATTGTAAATGTAATATATAATATGAATATTAAATATGTATGTTATATTTATATAAAATTTGTTGCTGGTTTTTATTTATTTATTATAACAAAATACAAATTTTTTATTAGTAAAACAAAGATAATATTACATTTTGAAACTTTAAAAAAATGCCAGATTTGGAATCAGAGGAGTTGGGTCTGCGAATTATTTTCCATCATTTATTACTATCATTTGAACCTAATTTTTTGACTAGAAATTGTTTGAACCCAGAATATCACCAGCACTTCAGTAACTCTCCAGGAATGCAGGAGATGACAAGGAATTGTGGGTACCAGCAAATCCTGGATGCACCCAAGTCTTTTTTGGGGTTCACTTAAGTTTGTATTCTGGGTTCCCCTTGTGCTTTGGCTTTGCCCACATTTTATTAATGGTTCACATTTACTAATAATCTATCTCAATCTCTTTAGCTGTCACATAGCCCTCTAGGTAAAACTGCTTAACTGCACATGGATGGAGGTACCCTTGTCTAAATCCTATATGACATATATATATACATACATATATACATATATATATGTATACGCACACATATGTGTATATATATGTGTGTATATATATCTGCATGAGACGGAAACACTCCTTTCTGACTCACTCTCTTCCACCAAATGACCTAATAAATTTCTTTCTAAAAGTACTTCAGATTTTGGGGTTATTCTCATGACTGAAAGATTTAAATCCCAACTCTGTTATTTAATCTCTCTGGCACTCAGTGTCCTCATTTGTAAAATGAGGGTTGTAATTAGATTCCCTTCCAGATGGAAGGCTCTGATCCTAAGAGCCAGGGGTGGGGATGGAGTAAATAATCAAAGGCTTTCCAGAGTTGAGGTTTACACTGGGCTTTTTAGGAAACTGAGGCTGGGCAGTGACAAATGGGAGGGGACTCCAGGTAAAAGAATATTGTATGAAGGGAGTAGGAGGAATGACAGTTTATACTATGTTACTTTCACCTTATTACAAATGCTAAAAAAAATAAACAGGAGATTTTAATAAATGTGGAAGGAAAAAACAATGAACAAATAAGCCAATATTACCAATTTGTCACATCTGCCAAACTCTCGGCTGATCCTGAAATTAAGAAGCAAGAGAAACCCCATATACCATTTAAGAGATGCAGTGTGACACTGTGAATCGGGAGTTAGTTTCAGAGTCAAAGATGGGGGTTCAAGTCCTATCTCTGACACATACTAGCTGTGTGACCCTGGCCAAGTCATTTCTCAATACTCTAGGTCTGTAAAATTATAAATGGGAGAACTGGTACCTATGATCTCTCTGGTAGAGAGAGGATCGTTCCTGGAAACTCCCCAGCCTGTCAGAAAACAATCAAAGCAGTTGGAGATAGAATTGTCCACATTTTTTTTTTTTAAGTGAGGCAATTGGGGTTAAGTGATTTGCCCAGGGTCACATAGCTACTAAGTGTCAAGTGTTTGGTCTGAAGATGGATTTGAACTCGGGTCCTCCTGACTTCAGGGCCAGTGCTCTATCCACTCCACCACCAAGCTGCCCCTAGAATTGTCCACTTTAAAAAAATATATACTTCATGATATTTAAACATTTGCTAAACTCTAACAACGTGTGAGATGACATTCCAAAACCAACTAAAGCTGAATCCCTCCTCAGGAGTTTACAAATTAAGTTTACCAGATGGGATCACTTAACAGAACAATACAAATTTTAAAGCTCTATAGAGGGTATGCAAGTGTTTGGAGTTTGAGCTTTCAGGGGAAATGCTAATACATGGTCAAAATGCCCTTTTAAGAATCCAAATGAGAATTCCAAAATAGTACTTTTCTGAACAATGGCAGTTTTGTATTCAGAAAGCCTCAAAAGTTGCAGAAGTAAAAAGTAACATGAATAATTTATAAAAGCAGTTTTTCCTTCTTAGGTCAAAACTACTGAATAGATATGTATATGTATATCATATTCATTTCTCTCATTCATCTTCCATCATCCTGCCCAAAAGTCAATTACTATCTCTTCCATTTTATAGATGGGAGACAGAGATGAAGGGATGGACAGATTTCTTAACTATGGAGTTAACAACTAGTCCAAAGGTCACACTGCCCTAAAGACATTCTTCCTTGAGGGAGGAGACTACCAAGTACACAGGTGTAAGCATAGTGTCTTAATCATTCATGGCAATACAGGTACGGTAGAAAGGACACAGGCTGGGTCAGAGTTCAAAGCCTGCTTCTCCGAGCCTGAATTTCCTCCTTTATAAAATCTGAGGGTTGAACTCCGCAGCCTCAACTGTCCCTTCCATTATTATTATCCTGTGAAATTTTAAAAAATGTGTTTAATTCAGAATCTTGCTAGCCAAGAAGCAAGAAACTCCTTTCTCCCCCGTTTACAATGAATTAGCAGGCTCAGATTCTTATAATCTAGCCGCTGCTCAGATTCCTAAAATCTAGCCACTGTTTAGATTCTTATAATCTAGCCACTGCTTACCCAGGTTTCAGACTCCTTAAGAGTCTGCCCAATATGACAATGTTCTAATAAACCTTGTCTTTGGCTGAAAGAAGGCTTGGGTTGAATTCTTTCAGGCAGGATCCGTGTGCTGTGATTTTGGGGTCCCAGGACCCTTGAGCCCCTATACCACATCATTTTAGTGGCCCGTACAGGGAAGCTACCTAACCCCGAGTTCTTCTCCAGCCAAGACTGGAAGGTATGTAAGCCTCCCTCCACCCCTCCTTTCTTGCTCTGCAATTGGGGTCGCTCTCCAAGCACCAAAGCTTAGAGGTGCTTTTCTGGCAGACAGTTACAAGGCTGTGTCGCACTCGGCCTGACGCTCTTAGGCTCTTGGTCCACTGGGTCGGTTCAAGGCCACAGACCTGGGTACACCTTCCACAGCATAGAGGACGGATGCCCTATCCGGAAGTGTATGAATTTCCTCGGTGCTAGGGAATTGGGGAAAACTGCAGTTGCTTTTTGGTTTCCTGAGGCTTACTTACTCCCTTCCCTCTGCAGCTCTGAATCCTCCTTCATGGAGGTTACAGGGAAAGTCAGAATAGCTAAAAATATCTTGGCAGATTCTGGAGATTTTGTGATTGATCATTAAGGAGTTTTTAAACACCTGTACAATGAATTAGCAAAGAAACTTTTTGTCAGGAATGAACATATGGCAAGTGTCAACTTTCAAAATTAAGCTAACAGTAAAAGCATAAGAGTATAAGAAATCTTTGGAGACCAACTATAAAATTCCAGCCTCCAAAATCCATTTTTTGGGGGGTGAGGCAATTGGGGTTAAGCGACTTGTGCAGGGTCACATAGCTAGTAAATGTTGTGTCTGAGGCCGGATTTGAACTCAAGTCTTCCTGACTCCAGGGCTGGTGTTCTATCCACTGTGCCACCTAGCTGCCCCAAAATCCATTTTTTAAATCGTGATTTAATTAACAAACACAAACATTTCAATATATGAACAGGAAAGATGGGCATACAAGAAAATGTGAACTTCTGTTTTTAAAAAATATGTATATAAAAATAAAGTTTAATGAGGCAGCAACAAAATTGCTGGGTCCCCTTCTGCTTTTTTTTTGCTTTTTTGGTGAGGCAATCGGGTTAAGTGACTTGCCCAGGGTCACACAGCTAGTAAGTGTCAAGTGTCTGAGTCCAGATTAGAACTCAGGTCCTCCTAATTCCAAGGCCAGAGTTCTATCCACTGAGCCGCATAGCTACCCCTGCCCTTCTGCTCTTTAAAGACCTTTTTAAAATACTGTTTCTTCCCACCTCAAATATTAGGCAAAGAAAAGTTACACAAAAATGTTAATGGCAGACTGACACTGGGTTTTGTTCTTGACTCCTCATCCCACTTCTTCCACTTGGTTACAAAGGTCAACGACCACTAAGTTAAACAGGGATAGTGTACCCTAAAACAGTGATGAGGAACACTACTTACTTCTCCGGTTTCCCGTTCACGCAGAACAAAGCTCAGAGTTTCTGTCCTTGGTCCTGCTACCAAACGCAGATAGAGGGGGTGTTCTCGGTCTGAGAGCTTGCACGCATAAACTGCACAGGGAAACAACAGATCTATTCTTATTACCCATTAAACTAGCCTGCTCCCAATGGCCAAAGAAATTTATTCACCACATCTTACCCCATCTTACTATAAAATTTGCCAGTACTAAAGTGAACGAATTGACATCATGGGCAGGTAACAAGTCAGATAAAAACAGACAATGCAAAGCACAATTAGTGCTGTTCCTATTATTTTCAGAAAAAGATCAATTAAGTCAAGCTTTTTAAAAAGACTGTGACAAGAACACGTGGTCCTGTATATGAAAAAAATCAAGCAAATCTTTCCACATACCAAGTCAATAGCTTTCATTTAAATATGCACCCACCACCATGTGCCAGAGAGAAACGCCAGGCAAGTTCTTCTGTCTGTTTGGTTAGAAAAATTATTAACAGGCAAAGATACCATCTTAAGTGGGTAACTACCACTGTTAGCCTGAGCAGTAAAGAGTTGTGAATGTGAGGGGAGAATTGAGCTGGCAGGATGAAAGGTCCCCCTGTGATCTCCTGATCCTCCCACCACTCCTTCCCAGCATGTGGAAGACTAACAGTAGGTTTAGACTTCCTGGGACAGACTTTTCTAAGTGGGCACTTAAGTAAGGTGGAAATCAATTTCCTACAGCTGTTTCAAGCTCTACTCAGAAAAGCTAGAAGGAAAAAAAAATTAAGAGAGTGACTAATGAAATATAGATACTTCATAGTCAAATGAACACTGGAGATAAGCTAGGTTTGCTGGGATTTACTTGTATAGAACATCCAGTAAGGTATATATTTATTCCCTTTTGATTCATCCAAGGTAGCTGTTCTTATAAGAGAGAAGATGGACTGAAAGGGACGTGGGTGGGTCTTCCCTGCTCCACAAGATAGATGCCTTTATGTCCTGCCAAAGTATGCCTTGGGTACAGGAGACCAGTGCCTCAGACCTCATGGAAGTGCCAGGTATGTGGACTCATAGCGGAGCATTTCTAATTGAAGAGGTCTCAGGGTTACTTCTGAGCAAAAGTCAATGGCTACCAAGAGAAGAGATGATGAAACACGCTTCTGGCCTCTTTGCGAAGAGCTGGGAGTCTACAAACTGATGCTGCATATACTCTCAAAGTGGGCACTAGGGTGGGTGGTTCTGCTGAGTGGTTTTATCCCATGCTACAAGGGAGGGGGTTGGGCAGCTAGGTGGATCAGTGGATCCAGTTAAGAACTGAGTTCAAATTCGGCCTCAGACACTAGCTGTGTGACTGTTTTGTCAACTATAAAATCGGCTGGAGAAGGAAATGGCAAACCACTCCAGTATCTATGACAAGAAAACCCCAAGTGGGGTCATGAAGAGTTGCATACGAATGAAATGACTGAACAACAAGGGAGAGAGAGTTCAATATAGGGGATGTATTTTGGAAACTTTCCGTGACATAAAACAACTCATTCTTGCTGTTGGTATGTATGTATGTATGTATGTATGTATGTATGTATGTATGTATGTATGTATGTATGTATATATGTATGTATGTATGTATGTATGTATGTGTGAATCGTATATTATTGTTGTCTCACTGGTGCCTGACTCTTCCAAGACCCCATTTGGGAGTTTTCTCAGAAAAGGTACTGGAGTGGCTTGAAATTTCATTCTCTAACTCATTGTACAGATCAGGAAACTGAGGCAAACAGGATTAAGTAATTTGGCCAGGGCCACACAGCTAGGAAGTGTCTGAGGCTGGATTTGAACTCAAGAAGATGAGTCTCCCTGATTCCAAGCCCAGTACACTATCCACTGGGCCACCCAGCTACCTCTTGTAATATATATGTGTGTATTTGTATATGTGTATGCATGTACATATACATGTGTGTGTGTTAGAGGGGGGAGGGACAGTCAATGGCTAGCTAGATGATACTACTATTACTGTTACCACCCCTACCACTACTACTACTACTACCACCACCACCACCACCACCACCACCACCTAGCATTTATATAGTACCTAACTATGTGCCAGGCACTGTGTTAAGCACTTTACAAATATTGAAATTAAATATTCAAAGTAGTTAAATGATATTTAATATTAAGCTTAATATTAAATAAATATTAAACATATATTAAATATCTATTGATCCTCACAACAACCTTGGGTAGGTAGGGGTTATTATTATCCCCATTTTACAGTCGAGGAAACTGAGCCAAACAGAGGTTAAATGATCTGCCCAAGGTCACACAGCCAGTAAGTCTCCGAGGCCAGATCTGAAATCAGTGCATTGGCTCTGTAGTGAGAGAACACATTTTATCTCATCCCTGAAACCTCCTTCTTCTGTGACTCTGGCCGAGTGATTTAAACTCTCTCGGCCTCAGTTTCCTCATCTGTAAAATGATGGGGCTAGACAAGGTGACCTCTGAGGTCCGTTTCAGCTCTAGGATCTTATGCATGATTCTGTCAGATAGAAAGGAAGTTCCTTGAGGGCAGAAATGGTTTCATTTTCATCTCTGTATCCCCAGTGCCTAATATGGTACCTAGCACATCATAGGTACTTGACACAAGCTTACTTTTTTTTTGGATATATGCTTACTGATCAATGAAAAACAAGTAGCATGAGATAAAGATGGACAAGTCAGGATCAGAAATGTTCACATTAATGGGAAGCCACTGAAGGGTCAATGGGCATAGGAATGATGATGATAAAAAGGCCAAAGAACAGGAAACAGGACAATTTAAACAGCAGCATACCTTGATCTTCCTTGTGACAACGCTTATAAAGTGCAAACTTGGCTGGGCTTTCAGACACTAGAAATTTCTTGAGCAAGGCCTCGATAACTTCCCGGACAGTGTTGGTGCTGCTGATGTGAAGAGTATTCATGCAGCCATTATTATTGGCGGCATGCTTTTCTGGGTTCTGAGAAGTCCATGCACTGATAGGTCTGCACAAGTCCATCTGCACTTTGATGAAGCCAGTGTAAATCCCATTGGAATTCTGCAGCAGGAAGACAAAGAACATGGTTCCAGTCAAGCCCTGGAGTTTGGAAGGCATTCAAATAAGATGGGAGAAGGGGCCGGCATCAAGCAGAAAAACTCATTCGCTACTTCTGCTCTTGTATCTTGATGGCGGATCTCCTCTAAAGATTCTCGCACCCCAGCGAAAAAGGGCCTAAATGTGGGGTTGGGTTAAGAGGGTGGGCCATGGAGTCAGGAAGACTTCAGTTCAAAGTCTTGCATCTAAACTCATAATAGTTGTGTCTGCTGACAACTCACACTTAACTTCTCACTTCTTCTGGAAATTTTCTTGAATTGTAGTTTTAGATCAGTTGCTAAACCTTAAAATGAGTTTCCATGCTGGAGGTTCTCTAAATCAATTAAATTATAGCTCAAGATAAAAATAAAAGGCAGAAAGACCTTAATGGGAGGCCTTCATGTGCAGGGTACACAGCCCATGAACCATGTCTGTTAGGCAGATGGGGAAGTTTTAGAAGCTTCTCTGTTGGCTTTGATACGCTTATGTCTGAGACCCATTCATTCATGCTGCTATAGCCACATGTGAGGAGTCTGGACCCATACCTCCATTCAAATCCCTGCTGGCCAAACCAAGAAATTTACTAAGGCTAATGAGAAATATCTGGGCTGAGTGCACAAAGGAGGTATCCCCATCATAAAAGACAATGAACCCTTAGAGGAAAAAAAAAGAAAGCCACAATTATAACTTTATGACATCCTAACAAAAAAGGGTAAGCCAAGAGGCTGGAATAGATCACTTGGGGTAGCTATTACTGCATACGAATTACTGTTTTACTTAGATATCACTTCTTGCTGAAGCATCAACATGAAACAGATTACGATGAACTTTCAAGATTAACCTTTTTTAAAATAAGTCAAATTCAGGCTGCAAAAGTTAACCTCTGGAAAGCATAAACATTTGTTCATAATTTATGAATAGAATTACAATTTCATTTCTCAGATTGCTAAAAAGAAACTTAGTAAGGAAGCTGGGGTAAGTTAAGGTCTTTTGGGCCAAAGGGCAGCATTAGTGGAAATGCTAGAACCTACTGGTTTAGAGGGCAGCAAAGGAGAGGTAAACTGAGGCTCCTTCCCATAGCAATTTCTGCCAGGCTGGGAGAGAATAGAACCTTTAGGCACTTCTGAAAGCACATGGAAGACAGATGTTTAAAGAGAGGCTTTCTGGGAGAAGACTTATGGAGACATATGGCCATGATCCTCGAGAGGAAAAAAAAAAAAGTAAGTAGAGGACAAATGGAATCCATGCATTTTGTTCCCAACTACAAAATGTCTCTTCTTTTCATCCTCTAAACTCTTTCCTACAGACACTTGGTGGCCTCAATACAGGGACTGCAAACCGGGATTCCATGAGTTTTTTTTTTTTTCAAAAATACTTTAATAACTGTATTTCAATATAACTGATTTCCTTGGTAACTCCAGGGATTTTATTTTACGCATTTAAAAACATTTCTCTGAGAAGAGGTCCACAGGCTTCACCAGACTGCCAAATGGGGCCATCAAATGCAAAAAAGGGTAAGAAACTCTGATCTAAAAGCATTTTTATTACCTTCCTTGCTTTGTCCCTTCTGTTTCCTCTCATCTTGTTTAATGTGATCACATCAGCGTTTCTATGGCATCAGGTTTCACCCTGTACACTGCATATCCAATGTGTGAAGGTCACTGAATAAGGGATCCCGTGGATGAAGTGAAATAAAGGACAGCAAGGAAATCATTCGTTTTAACAAATGACCCAAGGTGTAGCCTGAAAGGCAGAAAGCCAGGACTCCATCCCCAAGTAGGTTAAGTGGAAGCAAAGGCACCCAGAAGACCAGAAAGGAGAGCAGGAATCTGTCCCAAGTGAGTAAGAAGCCTGGAAAACAATCCTGAGGGGTCAGCACGGATGCGCTAAGGACACTGGTGCTGCATAGACTGAAAGGGCAGATGCTTGGTTCATCCAGTCTACCATATGTTAAACAGAAACACCAACAGGGTCCAAGAAAAGTAATTTTTAAGAAATTGGAAACGGTAGACCAATAGCTGACATTCTGTTTATTAATTAACTGCTGACTTTTCATGGCCCATTGTAGCAGAGTAGATAAAGAAGCAAGCTTAAAATCAGGAAAGCTTGGGTTCATTCCTGCCTCTGCTGTCACACTGTGTGATCCCCTCAACAAGCCACGGAATCTCCCAATGCCCTGGGCAACTTTCCAAGGCAAGAAATTGCTGAGGAGGCGCCAACTCACTTTGGTGGAAGGAATTCCCAATGTCAACGAAATCACACTCTTCTCCCTGATTACTTTTTCCTGGGCCTGCTGCTATGGAGGAGTTGGATTATCTAAGAAGTCAGATAGAATTACAGGTGACCAAGTTGTGTTTGCTTCCTTCTCTCTCTTTAGTATATTCCTGCTGCCTTCTGTCCTCCCTGCCAATCCTTGAGGTATTTGGGGTTGACCCAAAAAAGGGCATGGAACTCCTTACTTGAAAAGAGCCCATGCTATTGTATCTAACGAAGCTGCCAACTTTTTAAAAAATCTGCCTATGTTCACAAAGCTAGTAAATATCCAAGGCACACATGAACCCATGACTCTTCTCCCTACTCCAGACTCCAAGGGCTCCTTCCATTAGACTAACCTGTCTTTTATACGAGACTTTTTCTTAATCCTCTTTTAAAAGCTGTGGATATTAAGGGGGGAAAAAAAGCTTTGAAAAATCTCAGTATGTTTCTTTCCCTATTATAGTATTAGTTTATTTTTAAATTTTATTTTCAGTTCCAAATTCTCTCCCTCCAGTTCCTCCTCCACCCATTGAAAAGGCAAGAAATACAATACTTATTACACAAATGAAGTCATGCGAAATATTCATGTTCCAAGAACAAAGAAAAGAAAAGAGATTTTTTTAAAAAGTAAAAAAAAAATATGCTTTAATCTACACTCTGAGCCCGTAAGTTCTCTATCTGGAAGAACACAGCATTTTGCTTCTTTTTCTAAAGTGTATTTAGTATTTTATTTTTCCCCAATTACATGTAAAAACAATTTTTAACATTCATTTTTAAACTTTTGAGTTCCAAATTCTCTCCCTCCCTCCTCAGCTCTCCCCCTTGTTGAGAAGGCAAGCAATTTGATATAGGTTATACATATGCAGTCACAGCATATTGCTTTTTAAGTCCTTTGGAGTTTTAGTGAATGTTGTATTGATCAGTTACTAAGTCTAGACTAAGTTATAAGTCTATACTAAATACTAAGATATATCTTTACAATATTGCCATTACTGCGCAGACTGTTCTCTCAGTTCTGCTCACTTCACTTTGCATCAGTTCATATAGGTCTTCCCAGGTTCTTCTGAAACTATCCCCTTCATCATTTCTTACGGAACAATAATATTCCATCACAATCATATACCATAACTTGTTCTGCCATTCCCTGATTGATGGGCATCCCTTCAGTTTCCAATTCTTTGCCATCACAAAAAACAGCCACTATAAATATTTTTGTATAAATTGGTGCTTTTCTTTCATTTTTTTTTTAATCTCCTGGGGGTAGACACTAAGTAATGGCATTGCTAGCTCAAAAAGTATACAAAGTCTTATCGCCTTTTGGGCATAGTTCCAAATTCTTCAGAATGGGTGGATTAGTTCATAACTCTACCAACAATCCATTAGCGTTCCTACTTTCCCACAATCCCATCAACATTTGTCATTTTCCTTTTCTGCCATCTTAGTCAATCTGATGAATGTGAGGTGGTAGCTAAGAGTTGTTTTAATTTGCATTTCTCTAATAATTTGTGATTTAGAGCATTTTTTTCAGATGACTGTTAGCATTAGTTTCTTCCTCTGAAAACTGTCTTTCTATGAATTGGAGAATGGCTCTTATTTCTTATATTTGACACAGTTCTCTATTTATTTGAGAAATAAGAGAAACTTGCTAATTTTTCTCAGTTTCCTTTTCTTCTACTTTTGGCTGCATTAGTTTTGTTTGTGCAAAAATTTTAATTTTATGTAATCAAAACTATCCATTCTACCTCTATTTCTTATTTGGTCATGAAATCTTCCACTATTTACAGATCTGCCAGATAATTTCTCCCATGGTGCCCTAATATGCTTTTGGTATCATCATTTCTGTCTAAATCACATATCCATTTTGAGCTTGTCTTGGTGAGATGTTTGTCTATGCCTAGTATCTGCCGTACCACTTTCCAGTTTTCCCAGCAGCTTTTGCCAAAGAATTAGTTCTTGCCCCAATAGCTGGGATCTTTAGATTTATCAAACACTAGGTTTCCCCTACTATTTTATTAAAACATCCTCTTAACCTCATAATTGCAAATGCCTCATTTTAGAATAACTCACCTTTGTCAAATGAATCACCTAAATGTCCCAGGTGAACAGAACAGAAAGTTAACAAACCCCTCCTCTACAGTTCTTTGTTTGTCTACAGGTCCACAGTTCTGATTCACTGTTGTTTATACCAGGGGTGGGGAACCTTCGGCCTTAAGGCCACATGTGGCCCTCTAAGTCCTCAAGTGTGGCCCTTTGACTGAATCCGAACTTCACAGAACAAATCCCCTTAATAAAAGGACTTGTTCTATAAAATTTGGACTCAGTCAAAAGGCCGCACCCGAGGACTTAGAATGCCACATGTGGCCTCTACTCTGGTAGAGTCAGTTAATAAGCATTTATTAAGCACCTACTACTACTGCCAGGCTCTGTGCTGAAGACACAAAGAAAGGCAAAAGATGGTCTGCTTTCAAGGAAATCACAGTCTAATAGGGGAGACAACATACAAAAGCCATACACAGGATAAATCAAAGATAAACAACAAAGAATTAAGGGGAATCAGAAAAGGCTTATTGGAAAAAGTGGGATTTTAAAAAAGGGAAAAGGACCCACGTGTACAAAAATATTTATAGCAGCTCTTTTTGTGGTGGCAAAGAATTGGAAATTGAGGGGATGCCCATCAATTGGGGAATGGCTGAACAAGTTGTGGTATA